CTATGTTCCATTATTAAAGTGCATGCTCTTTCGTTGAAATATACTCAAATGCATGATTATTTACATGATATTTTTTTGAATTATAATGTTCTTTAATATTCGAAATATAATTTTTGAAATCCATGTTTAATATTAAATTTTAATATAACATGTTTAATAGTATATATTCGAATGATTTTTGAAATAGTATATAACTTGTTTTAGTTTATATGTTTCATATGCATGATTTATATGTTTTCTATGCATGATAATTAGGTTTAAATGATTTAGATTATTATATGTGTAATATATGTTCATATGCATGATTAATAATATTTAATATATATGATTAGTGTGTGATATGCATGCCTCTCTATGGTTATACAATGTTTCTGATTTTCATGCTTTAACCCGAAATATTTAAAAAAAAAATTGCCCCCTCATGTTAAGCTTTCACAAACTTAACATGTTTAATTATAATTTTATAAATTTTTATAAACAATTTTTATAAAAAGTATACAAATTATTTTATAAAACAGTTTTTATAATTTTACAAATTTTTATAAACAGTTTCTATAAACAGTTTTTATAAACAGTTTTTATAAATATAAAAAGTAAAAATTGGATAAGCTCCAATCTTAGATGAGTTGACCTAGTCAATTCTTAGATAAGCTCCAATCTGTCGATTCTTCTGGCTACGGCTTGAGTCATCGATGGACTCTCCCAAACGCATGTACTGACATTATGTCGCTACATGTGATGTAGCCCATCCATGGTTCAAGGCGTAGCCTGAAGAATCGTCAGGATGGAGTTTATCAATGAATCGACTGGGTCAACTCATTGATGAGCTCCAACCAGTTGATTCTTCGGTCGACTGTGTCAACTCATTAATAATTATAGGATTTGTTTATTAGCAATTATTGGAACCTCATATTAAACTTATACCCAGTTAAATATGTTATATACATTGACAATTGACAATACTTACATAAAAATTTGATCTTCTATTATAAGCGTTCTAACAAAAAACAAAATAAATTAATATATTTTAGATGAGCAACGAACAATCGACCTCGGCTCCCCGCCCTAACTATGCGCCCATGTCCGAAGCGGAGCGCAACAACGAAGGAGCTGTTTGGGTGACCCCTGCAGAAGTTCTTTTGTAAGTAGTTATGAAGAAACCTTATTTTCAATAATTTTATATAATGTTAAATAATCTAACCAAATCTTATATAAATAAATACTATTAATTTTTTTAAGTGACGAACAAGTATTCAAAGGCATCAAAAGCATAATCGGAGGACACTTTCTTGGCACTTGGGCCACGTACTCGGATGTTGACCCCAAGGTTCGCGAACTATGGTGGAACCTGTTCAAGGTAAAAATAAATGAATGTTCCCTCCCTGATTGTATTGGCCTAATATATACCTACTGATTAATTAATCCAATTTGTTTTAATAAAGGCTCGCTATCGTTGGACTCACGCAAACGGTGCCGATATTCTTAAAGCCTACAATGCTAGGATTTCGACTTGGCTTTGCGCCACTTTTAAACGTGCGCGAAAAAGTTCGAAAAAGCCTAAATGGGTTTCGGATGAAGTGTGGTCCAACCTTTGTCGCCACTGGTCTTCTGATCCGAAATTCTTGGCCAGAAGTGAATCCGGTAAGAAAAACCGGATGTCCGAGAAGGCCTTGGAGATGCAGTGGCACGGGGGCCGCAAATCTCAGAATGCCCATAAAGAAACTCTTGTAAGTGCTATTCAAAAAACCTTACACCATCACAATCCTTCATTATAAAAAATTTACTTAAGTCTTTTTCAAACCATTTAGGCTGGTCCTGAGAAGAAGAGGGTTGGTGTTCTCCGGCTCGTCAAGCATTGCTGGACGAAGCACGGCGAGGAATCTGAAGCCGATCTGCCACCCCGCCTCGCTGACTTCGAAGTATGTAGCATCATATTTTGTTATTTAGTAACATATCAAATCTAAGTATGTAGCATTTCAAAAATATTTTTTGAAAATGCAGACGAAGTACAACGAATCCGTTGAAAGGCAGCGTGCGGCACGAGGCTTGACCCAGGAAGACGACCTCGATTCCGATGCGGATGATGAGGCGGCCATTGAGGCGGCCAGGGTTTACAAGGGCCGGGTTCCGTGCTTGGGGGCCGAGGGGCAACGGATTTTGTATGATCGAAGCACCGGCGCTTCCTCTTCTCGGTCAAGGCGGGGAGAAGATCCTCGTATTGCTACAATGCAGCGTGAACTGGAGGAGCATGAACGGCGATGGGAGGAGCAGCGGAAAGCAGATGAGGCCACAAAAGCCCGGTTGGAGGAGATGGAACGGTACATGCGTGCCGGATTTCAGCCTCCGCAACAGCCTTTTCCTCCCCCGTACGTATTCCACCCTGAGCAAACTCCTCAAGTTCCGCACATGGGCGGTATGGGATTTTTCCCCAACTCCGGATATGGTGGCATGCCTATGATCTCCCCGAATTTCGGATCTATGTCCTTTGATTTTGCGAGGTCATCCGGAGGAGGTAGTGGCACACCGAGCCATGGAGCCCGAGGAGCACCCCGAGGAGGATACCGAGGAGCACCCCGAGGAGGAACCCGACCTGACCCCGAAGACCCCCCGTGAACCCAGATGAGTTTCTGGTTGATGATGATGATGATGAAGAAGAAGAAGAAAATCCTAATTTTTTTCATAATGGAGTCCCACGAAGGGACATGTAATCATCATACATTTGTACTTTGTTTTTTGTCAAAACATTTAAAAGTTTGTCACAATATTTATTAAGTTTGTTGTATGTCTTTACTTTTTAAAATGTAATTTTAAATTTAAAAAATTAGAATAATATTTTCAATAATTCAATAGTATAAAAACATGGATAAAAATTAGAATAACATTTTTAAATTTAATTTGTAAAAATACGTATTAAAAAGTAATTTTTAAAAACAACTTTCAAAAAAAATGGAAATTTTTTTTTAAAAAAACAAAAATAGTAGTCACGGCCTTATCCGTGACTACAGTTAATTCGAAATTATTTTTTGTTTTTAATAAAAAACATTATTATTTTTTTTTTAAAAAACTTAGTCACGGTCGACAACCGTGACTTATTTCAAAAATTTAGATAACACCCGCGGGCGGTCTTTTGAAAAATTTGAAAATTTTAAAAATTAGTCACGGTCCACTGCCGTGACTAATATTATTTTTTAAAAAAAAAAAATTATAGTCACGGTCACAAGCCGTGACTAACACGTCGGAGTGGGGTTCCCGGGATGAAAATAGTCACGGTCCTTGACCGTGACTAATGCGTGACTAAATTTAGTCACGGTTATGTGGCGGTGACTTCATTTAGTCACGCCAATTAAGACACGGATTTAGTCACGGCGGATGACCGTGACTAATCTTTTTAGTCACGGAATTTTTACACTGCAGTCCGTGACTAAATCCGTGACTACGTCCGTGTTTTTTTGTAGTGAAAGTCTAGTAAAGTACCAACAGTGGAAAATGAACACCATAGAGCAAAAGCTAAATAACTCAAATAAATTATACTATGTACAATCTGTAGTAGATGAGTATTATTTATGAATACTACGTATTATACTACGTATAATCTTATTTGTGAGTTAGTGGATCAATATTATACTTAAGCCAAATTTCTGATATTGTAAATGTCACCCCTCAATTATTCAAATTGATATTGTGAGGGAATTTGACTTTGCACCCCATTTTTTGTAGTATTTCGTATGATTTTATAAGCATTTTTTGTTGGTGGCCTTATTGGATGAACATTATACTCCCTCCGTCCCATCCTGCTATGATTGTCTTAGACTCTATTCACTTGGTCAACATGAATCACTCTTAATATCTTACTTTATATATTAAATTTTTATCAAATTTGATTCGGATTTTTGCAATTTTGTAAAGTTATTAATGTAATTTCTGAATATGTAATTTTTTCCCTAAAAATAATTTGAGTGTGAACAGGGATCCATTTGCTTTATCGTCGGTCAAACATTGTTAATCGAATTGTCACAAACATAGTGGGACGGGTAGTGCTATATATGATCTTATTAGCTTTATTGTTAGTTAGTGGATGAATATTATATTATTTCATTAGCTTTTTTGTTAGTTATACACGTTAGTTATTTTCAAACAACTAGATACAAGAGATTTGCTTTTGGACTCTTGCATCAAATAGAACTGGAACTATATAATAAACTAGAAAATTTTATTCTGATTTATGTTCGAACATACTTTTTGGATGGGTTTATGATCTCAATGTTGGATGTTTTCATTATGACACTAGTTGAATATTTATTATTCTTTTACTTTAGAATGATTTACATTATTTGTTCTTATATATAAATAAATTGGTTAAAAAGTTGAGTCTTAAGCCATATTGCGTAATGAGGCTTACGCCAAGTCTCTAGGGCATGCGTTTCTAATCCAGGTCTTAGCCGAGATATGTGCGGGTTCATGATTATGTTGTAAGACTGATACTAACGATTACTTGAGTAATTCATTGACATAGTTTTATCATAAAAATAGAGTGAGATGGCTAGAGATGTGAGGATGGCCCTACAAAGAAAATAATACTCCCTTCATAAAAATCGCATTTTTAGTCCCTGAAATAGTCATCATATTGAAATGTTAGACCCATATTTCTAATATTGTAAATGTCACCCCCTCAATTGTCCAAATTGATGTAAATGTAGTGGGTGAAATGTACTTTTCGCCCACATTGTACGACATATCACCTATCAAATGACCACATTTACGGTAATTTGGAAAATTGATTGGAAAATTGAGAGTGACATATATAACTTGGAACATTATTTCAATATGGTGATTATTTGAGACACTAAAAATGTGATTTTCTCTTTTAAGTAATACACTATTACACCTAATTTGCACGGGCCTAGAATAGAACACTAAAAATATAGTATCGGTATTTAACTGAAGGGAGATCTCTTAAAAGCTTATAACCCGTTTAAAGTCAAAAAGAAAAAGCTTATGACCTGATTATTATTCTGGTTGCTGTAATCTCCATTATTTCTGTTCTGCAAATCAATGCTGCAATCAATATCCTCAACCACAAGGATGGATCTGTTTTTAGTAGTGGGAAGCAGCTTTTGGAGACTTGAGTTGCTCCGTAAGCTAGAGAGATCCAGTTCATAGATGCTGAATTTCAGATAATTGGCCATGGCTGCTATCAGACTCGACTTCCCCGTTCCGGGAGGTCCATACAATAAGTACCCTCTCTTCCACGCCTTCCCAACTCTCCTGTAATAATCTCTCAGGCTAACAAATCTATCCAAATCTTCGATGATTTCCTTCTTCAGTTCAGGATCCATCGCTAGGGTCTCAAAAGTGGACGGATGCTCCAGATTAATCTCGTTGCTGTAATGGCCTATCGCCTTCAGCGTTACGCACTGGTTTTCTTCTTCTATGGCCTTCGCTCTTTCCAGAATGAACGGTATATATTTGCTGATAACAATTTCACTGAATTTCTTGTCGAAGGAGAGTTCAAACGATCTCTTTTCCGTACTACTGTCTGAGGAAGAACTGGAAGTGACTCTCAATTCCCAGACTAATTCCACGCCACCAAACGAGTCGACAATCTTCTCATCTGTGCTAATGATGAACGAGATGCTTTTGTCGGTGGGCGCCTTTGAGATTTTGAGCCGTCCTTCCGCGGGCTTCAGCTTCGTTTGGAGATAAATTTCAGCGGCTTCGAAGATTTCATTTGCGGTATAGCTGTTCTGTTCATCAATGACAAGAGTTGTTTGGGAGGAGAAGTTCCAAATTAGGACTCCGAATTTTGAAAGTAGCTTTTCCAAGAGGTCTACGGGCAAGAGCTGGTTGGCCAATGATTTGAACTCACTGAGAATTGTTCTGATCAGGTAAGCTGAAGCAGTGAAAGAAGTGTATGTTGATAAAATTGCAGTTGTTGAAGGAACATCAGACAGAGAAAACATTCTTCAAGTTTTTCTTCGCTTAGATCTTTTTTGCAACGCTTTTCTGGTTGATCAACGGGCCTCAGTCTCTGCTCAAGTCGATGTAACCTCCGACGATCTTCTCTCCAAAGTTGCGCCCAGCTCTCAGTCGGACGTACTGAAGTAGCAGCCTCTCTCTAAAAGATGACGCTGGAACCCTAAAAGTGTTGCACGACATGCGGTTTGGATTATTATATTGGTTGCAGCAATTATTTACCTTTGACCCTAGTCCACGTCCTGAAGTTTATGGCCCGCTGCGTGGCCCAGCATCATGCTATATTTGTTGTATTCTTTGTGGCATACGTGAATTTATCATGGGAAAACTGTCAAATAGGTTCTCGAACTTTCATAAAAAAGTCAATTAAGTCCTTCTATAGGACACTCTGTCCGGTCGTCGCAATTTGGGGCGGTTCCCAGTGGAATTTTTTGATGAAATTTTTTGAGCATCTTATTCATCAAGTCTAGTTTACTCATACCGAATTTCAGCTAAAAATTTAATCGGGAGCGCATTCAAATTAATCCGACAACGCAAAAATGCGCAGTTATCTTAAAGAATTAATTTGAATGTGTTCCCGATTGAATTTTTAGCTGAAATTTGGAATGAGTAAACTAGACTTGGTGAATAAGATGCTCAAAAAAATTCATCAAAAAATTCCACCGCAACTGCTCCAAATCGCGACGGCCGGACAGAACCTCCTATAGAAGGACTTAATTGACCTTTTTATGAAAGTTCGAGGACCTATTTGACAGTTTTCCCATTTACCATTTTTTAACAAATCTGGTGAAGTAGTGTAGGCAAAGGTATAATTCCGGTCGGTCTCTCTCTTTCTTCAGCGGATCAATTCCGATCGTGAGTTTCAGTCGTTTTTGTTCGATCTGTGTCTTCTGTTTGGTTTACGTCGTTAGGATTAGCGCTCGGTTGCTTTCGAACATTGGCCTGCTACGGCGTTTCCTTTTGTTTTGATCCCAGGCAATAGGCGATCCGATTGGTTCTCTTTTTTGGGAGAAAGAATGAGTTTGGGTAGCAAGGGCATGACATCGATGAAGATGACAGCTAGCGATGGATTTGCTAAGAGTGCGGGACGAGGAGAGTTGCGCGGCGCTCGAGCAGGAAGGTCAGATGACGATTGACAATGGAGGGTCAATTAGGATGGTACCAAGGATACGGCCTCCTCCTGAACCACCCCCATGGGAGAAAGAATGAGTTTGGGTAGCAAGGGCATGACATCGATGAAGATGACCTGTAGCCAGGGCTGTACGAGGTGATAGAGTCCGTGAAAGTTTTCCTATTAGTTATTACTACGTATTATTTTGTCATTTGGATTCTTGTTATCGTCTATGTTGTTAGGTTTGTCAGTTTGTTTGGGATTTAAGCCTTTTTTATGTCATTGAGTATGTTTGGACCTATGGGAACATGGATGGCTGTGTCAAGCCCGCTACATGGTTAGCGATTCGCGTTGCTATTTTAGGGGTGACCGTCTCTAAGTCTGATCATAGGGTTTACAGTCGTAGTTGTTGGAATTTAGTTGGCATGAGTTTTGTTTCTCCTTTGACTGATGTAATTATCCTGAAATTTATGATATTAAAGAAGGCTAGTTAACGATTAAAAAATAAATCTGGTAAATGAAAAACTAAAATCATTAGGGCATCCCCATCCTTGAGATTATTTAGAGATTATTTTGATGATGTAGATGATAATTTTTTAGATTATGGTTGAGATGTTGGGATTATTTGAAGACATTATTTGATAAAATAATCCGGTATCAAATTCTAAAGCTAGATTATTTTGAGATTATTTCCAACTTTTCGGCTCATTCCCCCATTTTCTAGGCATATACTCATAATAAAGGTGATGACTAGCTTTGTAATTCGTGCATGTCTCATAAAAAACCTAGGTAAATTAAGATCATGGATGAGGAGAAATTGATAGATTTGCAGATTATTTGAGATTATCTTATGTGGAAGTGACATGACAATAACAAGTCATAAAAACCGTAAAATTGAGTATCATGAATGAAGATGCTCTTATCAGTTTTCTCTCTCTATCTAGAGTTTTACCCTTAGAGCGTTATTTGTCTGCTATCGACCTTTGTCGAGGAGCGGTTGACGGGCACTTTGTCACGGTGCGTCAAAATAAATTCAATACTAACACTTATATGTAGTATATCGTAGTAAAGTTCGTATCTACATGGAAAGGAATAATACTCTTTTCAAATAACTAGTAAATAAAAGGGGATTTTATTGTTGAATGATTGAATTTAATTAAACATGAATATGAACGACTTATATGTGATTTAATTCAAAGATAAAAGGACTTGGCATTGCTACTTTCCACTTGTTGATATATTTTAGTCAATCATTGTTATATCTATAACTTATCCCTTCTCGAATACTCAATCGAGGAGTATATCCAATTCATCGAGGGTAGTTATTAACAACGACCATTCATTAATAACCCTTACTATTAATCAAATATAGAACAACGCCGTATATCGATTTAACAGTAGCATTTAATATCTTAACTCCTTGATGAAATCAATTGAGATTGATAACCTCAACACAACGGTTTTGGTTTAACCAACAAAATTAATCCCTCTTAAGTTTATTAACCACGACCGTGCATTAATAAATTGAAGTTACTTACTTGTGAAACCATCAACGATTAACCATCGGTTCGTTGACCATCTTTTCGTGTGAATTTGAGAGAAAAGGGAGAGAGGGAACTAACCACATTTTGTGTTGGAGAAGAAAAGAAAAAAAAAAATTGCAGGGTTTGTTACAGCTGGAAGCATACTCGATCGGGTACAATTACATACCCGGTCGAGTACAGGTTAAAAAGAGAAACCGAGTTCAATACTCGACCGAATCAGCAAGTTTTTACAAAAACCAGGCATACCCGATCGGGTATAATTCCATACTCGATCGAGTACTTTCAGAAAAATTAAATGGTCATCAGCCTGCTTCCAAGACCCGGTCGAATACCAGGCCTTAAATGTGCAAAAAGGAGGAACACCCGATCGGGTATTTCCCTTACTCGATCGGGTAAGGCTGGAAAAACGAAAATAAAATACCCCTGCCTTGGAGACCCGATCGAGTACACTTCTATACTCGATCGGGTATCACTGGAAAAACAACTTCCCACAGCCCCTGCTTTCCAGACCCGATCGAGTACCAGGCTCAAAACGAGGCAAAAGAACGATACCCGATCGGGTATAGCAGGGTACTCGATCGGGTATACCTGCGATTTAACCCCAAATCACACCCCAAAAAACTTCATCTTCTCCAAACACCCTACCCAACCTCGAACTAAACTCCCCCAAACTCCATTTTTCTACCTTCTCTCTACCTTCTCTCCCTCATTCCTCCACCAAATCATCCCATTTCACCACCAAAATACTCCCCTCACTCTCCTCTCCATATCCATACCCACAAATCCATTTTTTCCCAAATCTCCAAAAAAAAATCCACAAACCCTACCCCAACAAGCTCAAACACTCCAAGAAAGAATAGGGGGGAAAGCTCAAACTCCATGGCACCCATCCCGGGCTACGAGGACTTTCATTTCACCGATACCGAACAACGGGCTCGAATTCTTGCCACAATTTCAAGGCAAGTCAAACCATCCCGTTTTCTTTGCCATAAAGCTCTTCGTGATTTAGGCATTCTTAAGAGCACTAGAAAATTCTTTCATGAGTTGAATATGGACCGTATTTTCAATATGCAATACAACTCAAATGAAAGAATTATCTATGAGTTCATAAGTTCGGCTAGTTTTGAGAGCAACGAGGATGATCTTAGGGATGATACACTCTCGTTTCGTTTGCTAAACCAAGAATATTCAATAACGAAACTTGAGTTTGCCGAACATTTTGGCATTCCCGTCCCCTACGAGAGAGAGATTTCGGACAACACCGTGATGGGTCATGCACTTTGGACCAAAATGACCGGAGAGGTGAACTTTAGCTCCTCCCAACTATACATAAGCCATGTTCACCATCCAATTCTAAGGATATTTTTAAAATTTTTGGCTAATTGTATACTTGGGCGCCCCAACAACCATCACATTAGGATGTGGGATGTGTGTTTGATGAGCACGGTTCTATTCCGCTGTGCTATGGATTTTAATTTGTGTAATTTGATGTGGGCACACCTCAAGAAAGAAACCTTTGCTAAAGGCCCAATTGTATTGGGTGGGGTGATTATGCACTTGGCAACAAAGTTTGGGTATACGGACAATTCTCCTATACCCGACTATTGTTTGATGAACATTACTTGGTTGGGCAACTCGGGATGTGCTACTTTTTCTCACACGGTGTATGGGGAAGACCAACCCCGACATGTATACAATTGGCTCATACACCCTAAACCTGTGAGACATTACCCCTTGCCTAACCCGGACCTCCCCAAACTCCATTACAATAGAGATGTGCCCCATTACATGTTGATATTCGTGTAATTTCCGATTGTATATATATTTGTATTTTTAATTAGTTTTTGTTAGTTCTAGTTGTGGAAATTACACACTTTTGGTGTAATACTTTATTTTCATTTTTATTTGTAATTTAGTTAGATTAGGATTTTTCTGAGCTAAACAGGTCAAAGATCATCTAAGGGATCAAGATTGGACCTTAAAAGATCAAGGAAAGTGCAAGGAGACAAGAAAGATTTCGATTTGGGAAAAATACTCATGTACCCGGTCGGGTATTGCCTATACCCGATCGGGTAATTGCTTGATTCGACTGTCCAAATCAAATCGGAAGACAAATGATCGTGGGGGCAAATTTTCATAAAGATTTGTCACATACCCGATCGGGTATATACCCTTACCCGATCGGGTATGACCAGAAAAATCACTTTCTGGGCAATTTCCTGAGATACCCGGTCGGGTATCAGACCCTGCAGCTCCCAAAAGCCTATAAATACACTCCTTTCCTTCCCAATAAAAACACCAATTCACATATACTCTCTAGCTCAGTTTAGATTAGTGTTTTCTTTATATTTTCTATCATGTTTAGTCTCCAAATGAGGAACTAAACTCTTCCATCTTGGTTTTGCTACTTTGAAGCTTAATGAATTTGTAAGTTGTGAGTTATTCTCTTTAATCTTCTTCCTTGAATATTAATTCTCCCTTTAAATACTATTTGTATAT